TGGCAATCGGTGTTTTTCAACCTTGGGAACTTTAAGATGGGTGGACTTCAACTCCCAGAATTCCCCAGCCAGCTTTGCTGGCTGGGGAATTCTGGGAGTTGAAGTCCACCCATCTTAAAGTTCCCAAGGTTGAAAAACACTAATGGTAATGGTCGTCGTAACGAGAACGCTCCGCTTACGCTCACTTTAAAAGGTCACCTCCGGCAAAGCTCTCGGAAGGGGGCAAATGTATTTTTTTTTTTAAAAAAATCAAATCTTGGCCTCCGCTATCTTTCCAGACGGAAGGGCACCTAACGCTCAAACGCCCGCGCGTTGCTTCTACGGCTTTCCCAAGGAGACGGGCGCAAGTCAGGCGCCGCTGAGCGGGTTTCCCTCTCTGGGTTCGCTCCCCAGGCGGTCCGCGGAGGAATGCTACATTTTCCCCGGGGTTTGCTTTTATATCCCGCTGGGTCCCCGCGTTGCAAACCTCTGTAAATACACGAATTTTCGAAACCAAAAACACAAAACAAAAAAAAACCCACACCTGCTGGAATGCAATGGAACACTTTATTTCCAAGTGTCCCACGGCGTTGCAAAACTATAGCAACGATAGCCCTTTCAATTATCTTTCGCTGGTCACGATCCAGGCCCAAAGCAAGCGCTTTTGCCCTCCCCAGGCTCCTTTTAGTACGGTGGTTTAAGCAAGCAGTTAATTCTGCTGCTCTTGAAGTCAGTAGGACTTACAGAAATATAACCTGGTTGATTGGTTGATTGCCATGCTAATAAACTGTACTGGGCATTGTCCAACACCGGTAACAGCTAAAACCCCAGTCCTAAGTCTAGTTACTTTGTTGTTCTATTTTCAATGATCCCAAATGTGTGTATGTGTGTGAGTGTGGGTGTAGTTGTATCTGTTCTATGTTTACACCACAAGCTTACTTGGAAAGAAGTTCTATTTTAAAGGATTTGTAAAAACTTCAAAGGAAATGAGATAAGGATTCAGTTTCTATTATATTCCAACTTGACAAACTGATTGAAAATTCACTGCCATTAATACATGTGGAAATAGAAATTTCTTTCTTGTGTTTCCTTACTCTGGTTCATAACATCATTTTTTTTATATCAATAATATTACATGTGTCCCTAAATTCCACCGGGAAAAACTACAAGCCTCAATGGCCAGCCCATCTTTGCTGGCTTTTCCAATCCCTGGCTAGAATAAAATTTCAAAGTAGTTCACATATCCCAATACACAAAACAGATCTCTTGAAAAAAAAATTAAATCCATGGAGAATAAATTTATATGTCGATTCTATATCAGTTCTCCTGATAAATCTACCTAGGACTGGCTCATTAGACTATTCCAGATGTGGATAAATTCTGAACGTTTTTCTTTAGTTTTACAAAACTACCTGGAATCTTTAGGTAACAGTAATAGTTCTAGAGGTAGTTAGAATTTGGGCTCTGCAGAAGAAAATTGTCTTGCTCATATTTCACTAGAAATACTGATGAAAACTCCTTAGACTTGTATGCTCTACTTATTTGTAAACATTTCTAAGCATTTCGGGTCATCAGAGACCAAAAAAAAAAACAAAAACAAAAAACAGCCTTCTATTCCAGTTTCTGGGCTCATTATCTTCAGCGGCAGTTTACTGACTCTTTCTCACTCTGGTTTTGATTTCCATCCTGTGCCAGGCAGGACAACAGCGTTTTCCCACCCTAAAGGTAAGAACATGTCCATCTGAGGGATGAAATATGACTTTCTGAGCCAAAGGGGCCTTATTCCAAGGAAAGGTTTTATTCCCCCAACCACCTGGACACAGGACCAGGACAAAGACTATGATTTCTCTTTGGTCTCCAAGTGGGGATCATAGATATTCCATCCAGATGGGCTACATTGATACATATTCACATTTGAAATTTCGTTCTTGTGCATCTTTTTTTCTCTACCCCCCCCCCTTGCAGTTGTGCCACCTTGGTCCACACAATAGAAACCAGGGCTTAGGATCTGGATCAATATTTAGCTTGGCATTAATTCCTTGCCTTCCTTCTCCCTCCACCCAAATTTTTCTATGAGATGCCCTTTGGGGCAATCCATGTGGCTTTACTCCTGGGGGAGAGGGGTGGGTGGGATGGTTTGTTTGTTTTAGTCACTGGAAGTAGCAGCTGAGCTCCCAGCTTCATTGTGTTGACAAAGGTGCCTCTGGTTCCCTGAATCAAACAGGCCCTATGTACCAAAGAGGAAAGGGTTTGGGTGGGGGGGAGGAAGGGAAGGGAAGGGAGGAGGAAGAAGTAGCAGACAAAAGAGGAAAGTCTCCAGAGAACTTCCTGCAAAATCCACAAAACTTCTGTCCTAAGAATAGGTTTTCACTGGACTGCTTAATCAGTCGCCCTGGAAGTTCGCTTGAGCAGACAAAAGAGGCAGAAGTCAAGGTTGGCCCAGCCAGGAAGACTAACCCCATTGGTTCCACTCTCCCTAAGGCATCGGGGAGACGAAAGGCTCAGGAGGGGTGCTACCTACCTTCTGGGAAGACCACCCTCATTTTTAAGTAGCTGGTGGTGAGCCGAATGATGGAGGCCTTGTCCAGTTGCGAGGTGATAGCCGAAGGCAAAGGCAGAAGCTTGGCCAGTTCGTAGAATTCGCTGTTTTCTTTCTCCCGCCTAGTCCGGGCAGCATTTTTAGATTTCTCTTTCATGGTGCTGCCTTTCCCCTTCTCTGTGACCAGGCCAGCTCCGCAGATGCATCCAAGAAGAAAGGTCACTCCCAACAAAGCATCGCCAGCTCCCCTTGGCTTGGCGTCCCTCTAACTAAGCCATCTCGCCCAAACCTCCGGCGCTGTGTGGGGTTCAAGAGGGGAGAAGGCGAGCACGGGACTGCTTTACCAGCTGAGGAGTAGCATTATGACACCCTCGATTTCAACAAAGCCGCGGAGAACCCACCAAAGTGAGGAATCCAGAGGAAAGAGCCCCAAAGGCGTGGTTGACTCTCAGCAATTTAGCCCAGGACCCTGGCGCTTCTCTTCCTTCTCTGTTGGCCAAAGTAACTCCTCCGCCCAGGAGACCTCATAGCGCGTCTCTTTTGCGCCTCCTTCCTCTTTCTCAAGGATTTCCAGGCTTCGGGGCGCGGGCCTTTGGCAACCGGCCGACCCAGGCCCCCTTCCTTCAAGCAGCTGTGAAGACAACAGTGGCGGGACGGGAAGACAGAAAGAGCCAAAGATTAATAATACGCTGACACAGGTCCTCTTCTCCAAAGCGGCAATCCCTTTGCCCATTAATTAAACCCTCGAACACATTTGGAAGAACTCGGCTATAGGTGCAGGGCGAGATTGCGAAGGGAAGAGGGAGGGAGGGAGGGAGGGAGAGAGAGAGAGAGAGAGAGAGAGAGAGAGAGAGAGAGAGAGAGAGAGAGAGAGAGAGAGAGAGAGAGAGAGAGAGAGAGTTGCTTTTAAGCCACGGGTGGAAAGGAAAAAAGTTGAGGGGATTTAAAGGCCCTTGGAGGCTCCCATACGGAAATTCCGAAAGGAATTGGTACCGGTCGGAAAATGCTGTTATCTGTCCACTGCGGCTTCGGATCTGTCTGATTACAAATAAACTTCAGCCTCGCTCCAGAGTTGTGAAAAGAATATTCACAGCAGTAATTCTTGAGAAGAGCCCCTTCCCTCTGGACTTCCTCCATGTTAAGAAGCCCAGAGCCAAGAGACGGCCTTGGTGTAGTGTGGAATTTATACGTAAAGAAGTTATGAGGAGACAAAGGGCCCCTTCGAAGGACCAAGCGCGTCTACTTACTTATATAAAACGCTCAGATGCCAATTTCTAATTTCCCCATTTCCTTCTAGCAGCCACTCCTCCTCCTCTGAGGGACGGTCGGCTTCGTTCAGCTAAGCTACAAAACCCAACCACTTCCTCCCAAGCTCTCCCATCCACAAACCACTTACGCCTTCCTGATCTGCTGGCCAACTTCGTTACACCTCGATTAAAGTCCCTTTTGGAAGTCATTATCACGAGCCCCAACTGAAACGCTTCGACGATGGCGATCTCTCCGGTAAATAATACCGGCTGCAGGAACGACAGGGCTGGGGGTCTCTCTCCCCCCTCCTCCCCCCAACCCGGAGAAGTCGAAGCATAGCGCAAAGTGATCGCTTACCGCTTGGCGTTTTCCATTCACCCCCGTTTCGAAACCGCTCCTTTGCGGTATTAAAGTTTTTAAGACGGTCCCCGCCTGCCCCCCCTCCCTCCTTTCCCCTTGGGCAGAAGCACGTGGATCCCAAAAGCGCATCTTTCATCCAGACAACCCGCCCAGGAGAAGAACGAGGGGTGACTCCGTGTCGATCCAAAGAGAGAGTTACTTTCCCTCGCCCGCCCAGTCCCCCCTCCCACCGCAGCAGCAGCAGCCTCCGGGTGTCTCCTGTTTCTCCCTCCCCCAGCTGCCGCCCCCTCCACCTACCTGCGCTCCCCGAGCCCAAGGTGACAGTGGCGAGCGAGGTTTTACTAAAGATCAGCGAGATCCGTCAAAGGTGGGAAAGTTTCTTCTCCCACGGGTGGAAGGGAGGGGGGGAATCTGTGTCTTCTCGTCCTCTAGTGTTGCTGTCCGGCTCGTCCAGGATTGTAAATCGGGAGGAAGCGACAGTTAATGAGGAATCCTTAATTTTCAGGCTGAGAAATGCCTAATAAACTTCTGGATAGCCAAAAGGGCTTTTTACCTAACTTCATTTCTCAGCCCCGCTTCAGTCTGCCCGGCCTTAACGCCACTCACACGGCAAGCTGGCTTCCTATTGGAACAGAGCTCCGAAAGGCCGGCCTCTTACTGGTTGAGCGGCGGAGTTACGTCACCCATTTCTGGGCACGCCCCTTTTTACCCTTGTGCGGGCCCGAAAGCGCCGGAGCCGGGTCCAGTTTGTGACCTCTCGGCTCCAGGGGTGGACGCGGGAAAGGAGCCCTGGCTCGCTTCTTCAGCGGAGCCCCAGACAGGACAAGGAAAGCACCCATGGGCGGGAGGGGCCGAGCCGTTGCTGCTCCGGTTCTGAGAAACGGAGCAAACTGGGGAACCAAGTGGGTCTTTCTGTTCTCTCCTACAAGGCGAGAGGGGACGGGAAAAAGTTTGTTGCAAAGGCTTTTCTGCAGTAATACTAAAATGTCGGCTTCCCCGCGAGTAAATGTCGAGTTTCCATTAAGTCTTGCAGGTCAGGCCTGCAAGAAACTGGGAAAAGAATGCACACGTGTAATGTAGCAATCGCGGGGCCCGGCGTTTAAATATATTTGGTCGTGGAAAGTCATTCCTTTGCAAGGTTTATACCTTACCTTTTTTCTTCTTCTTTAAACCCGTGTTAATGGACGAATTAGTTGACTTTAACAAGGTCTTAAAAGTTATTTCGTCCAACTGAATGCCCGAGAGATTGCAACACAAGAGATTAGTTGCGCAGCTCGAATGATACAAACGAATCCGGTTTTAAGTACTCGGTCACAATATTGGAAATTTGTTAGAAATTTCTTCAGAACGTCTATTAGCTGATTTTGGATTTGAGGTACTTAACTTGCTGCTTCGGGGAATAGGGACTATAACAGGAATTATTTTGGATATCTTACAACTCGACCTTCCCCAACGCGCCGATTAAAAGCCTCTCTTCTCAGTTTCAGGAACAGTCCCACCCATAGTTGGGTGGTTAATTCCGCCAGGCTTGACGGTGTAATAAAATGAAAAATCTCTGCTGGCGGAAACGGGGGTTCAGGTCAACCGAACAGCCAAACTCTTTCATACACACTTTATCCCTCTTTAAAAGCAAAAGGTAGGAAAGTAGCGATCCGGGCTAGAAAGAAATGCAGTACTGGAAAGTTGGAGGCAGAATCTCAGCCAATTCGCGGGACCCTCCTAGTTCCTGGGGGAAAAAATAATCCCACTGAATCGAATGCGGTTGATTCCCGCTCCAATCCGACTTTCCTTTTTCAAATAGCCAGATTGCAAAAACCTAATCGTTTCGCTTCTGCAACGCTGCAGATCACTGAAAATGGTCTTTTGCATTCGTCCGCTCAAATCTCGTTCAAATTTAAAAAAAATATATCCAAAGACCAATATACCCAACGCGCATAGAATGCATCGTCTTGTGGCAGAATATGAATCTTCGCATATTCCCCTGCATGGATAAAGAATCGCATTTGTCGTAAGGAAATTGAGCGTCTCCGAACGCAAATCTAGTGCAGAACATAAGTGAAGTTTTTCCTGCAGCCTCCTGTCGGGTGTGCGAGTTCAAAATATTATCTGCACGAGATTTGAAGGGAACGACCGACACAGGCTCCGCTCCAAGGAGGTTTGAAAGGCTCTTAAAATCCCCGTGAGTTTTGTGCCGGCCTCGAGGATCCAGGTTCTGGATGAGAGCCAGCCTGAGTAAGTGAGGGTCTGCAGAGTAGCTTCGAAAGGTATTCCTTTCCGTTACTCCGGCGTTTGTTTTGCACAACAGATAATAGATTTAGAAATTGTGGAAGAATGCCTTTTGAGGTGAGGTGCAGATGTTCCCTAAATGCCTTGGTGTTGACCAGCGCCAAGTAAGATTATATAACCCATTAAGTGAAAACGGGAAGCGAAGGTTGCCACTCGGCCCAACTCGCTCGTGAACTCCAGGAAACTCTGTGTGTGTGCTCGCGCGGGCGAGCGCGTGTGTAGGATCTGCTTTACACACACATTAAGCCCTAATGTTTTGTTTCGGCTTAAGCTATTTTATAAACCCAGACTTGTGATCTGTGGCTCACCGTGCTAGGTGAACGCAAGGAAATATGACTTATTCAAGCATCCACGGTAAACCGTGTGTGTGAATCAGATCGTGCAAATGGCATATGTAAGATTGGGAGGGGGGGCGGTTCTTTTCCTAAATGGTACCGCTGTGAGTCTTTGGAGAGAAGTAAGTTAAAAGCCAAAGAAAAATATTAAAAGTACTGCCTACCACTTCCGCTGTGACATTCATCGTTCTTTCAAAGGTCTGAAGTCAGAATGCCATCATGTGGATGTAACAAGTGTTCCTACTCCCAAGTCGAACCCAGTTCCCGCCCAGTCGGTCAACCCATTTTTTCAGATGTGATTTTTTTTTTAACGGTACGGATGGTTGGATTTTAGAGCCATTTATTTGAAAGTCCAATTTTCCATCGGCAATACAATCCTAACGCATGCTTATTCGAGTTCGTTTGTCTTAACGGGAGTTCTAATAAACGAGGCAGTATACTGCAGTGTTGCATCTGGATCGGAGAGACCGATTAAAAGCCTATTTGACATCAGAGCTGACTTCTCAAAACCGTTGTGCGAATAAAATGAAAAGAGACCCCTTCGGTCGGGTCTCCCGAGCTCTCAGAAGCAAATCCGAAACACAAATGCAAGAAGTAAATTAAACGATTAGCATCTGCCGGCATCTTGGCAGTTTACAGCCCACGCTAACTGTAAACAAATCTCTGCTCCGCTCCGTCTGTTAGCAAACTCTTTTTACCCGCTCTCAAAAACAAAATGGGTCAGGAAAGCAGAACCAAGTGGGTGTAGGAAACAGGGAAAGAGCGGCGGGGCCGGAGTAACGTTTAAAGTCGTCCTTGTCCCATCCAGATTTGCCGGGAATCGGATTCTAGATCCCAAAGGAGAAATCGGGGAAGTTCCGGCGTCGAAAACACTTCCAAAATCGCACAAACGGCCGAAGTCCCCCCAAGTCAAGGAGGCGGCTTGAGGGAAGGGGAGAATGGGAGGGAGAAGGGACAGGGCCCTCACCAACGCTTGGCCTCCCTGGAAGGAAAACAACCTCTCCCGATCTGGAAGGTGCGGGTCAGGCCGGAGTCCTTCTTCTCGGCAAATACACGGGGAGGGGGAACTCGGCAAACACGCGGGGAGTGAGAAGCAGGTCCTGAAAGGCGCCGGATGGGTCGGTTCCTCACGCGGGATTTCTAGCGTTCCCACAGCCAGCCGTGCTTGTGGCGAGGCATCGTTGAAAGAGGCTTTTTTTCCCCTCTTTCTTTTATAGCCACTCGGCCCCGGAACAAATCTGCAGGTGCAAAGCGACCTAGAACACGTTTATTCTGAAGTAAAACACTGCACTTAAATCGACTTCCGAGGCCGGCCGGCCTTGTTTTCAAGCCTGTTTGGCAGCAGGGGATCCCAGTGGCCGCCGGGAAGTTTCCCGCCGCCATTGCCGGCTGGGAAGGAAAGCCGGAAATGGAGCCAACGTGTTGGCGAAGTAAGCGGTTTCTTTTGGCCTCCGGGAAGTTTAAGGGTGGTGGGAAGGAGAAAGAGCCAAAAGGGGATGCACTACGAGGCGCACCTGGGTGAAAAAGGGATATAGGATTGCAAGCATCTATCCATCCAGGCTGTGATGTGGGGACCAAGTCTCCCAGTGTTCTCAATGGCCAGTGGGGATTGTAGTTCCAAGTTTAAGTGTCAGCTTGAAGAAGCTGATGGTAGCCCTAGTTGCAAAATGGTCATTGTGTCCTTGAATACAAGATACCTATCTGGGCAAGGAGAGAAGCAGAGGCTTATCCACCCATTGATGGAGCGCTTTTGGAGAATAAGTTGGATCATAAGTTGAGTCTCTGGGATTCTTCTCCTAACCTAATTGCTTCTCAGTTTTTGCATGCTCCTGGCTAAGGAATAATTATAGGAAGGAAGGCCTTTGCTTGTTTTGAAATACCCTCCAATCTTTCTTCATCCTGTACACTCTCTCCTATGTGATTAATAAACTGCTGGCCTGGAGCCCTGCTAGCCCAGGAATTCCCTTAGTTAAATTCTTCACACTTAGCTACAAACCATGCCAGGACAAGCTTGTTTTTCCCAGTCATGTTGTCAGAGAAATCCATAAAATTCACCAAATTCTTCATACCAGTGAAGCCTACAGTAGCCTACAGGTATCTTGAGAAAATGGGAATCCTCCATTCTGTTCTTTTGGGGTTTGATTTGGAGAAAGGGCAATTACAGAATGTCCTGATCAGAGATTTAGCATTGCAGCTGAACCACTGATGTCAGCTTGTTGAAGTAAAGTGGAAAGTATCTTCAATGTGACAGGCTAACATACACAAAGCACATTTGCCAGAATGGATGGAATTGGATTCAAAGGAAATATCCCTTTGTTGAGGGCTCAGTTACTTCTGCTGGACTCCAGACTATGTGTTTGAGTTATAGTTACCTCTGCATATATGGGGGAATGCCTCAGCAAAGTGAATTTGAACAGATTTCCTATCTAACAACTCAAGACAACCCAGGTAGTTGGCAGCACCTGGCCAACCTTTGTTGACGTTGAAAAATTAAGTAGGTTTGGACCTGATTAATACTTGAAAGGAGACTTTCAAAAACTTGCTGGGCTGTAGGCTTGACCCAGAAGTTATTAAACTTCCTAAAGATGGCAATGGCAAGCCAAGAAAACTTCATAGATGTGTCCATGCGGTTATTAACTTGCTCTACTGGAAACACATTTTTTAACAGATTTGCATGTTTGAAATATAGGATCATAAAGAAATCAACTATGCTTTAAATTAGCCTGCTTGTTAGCTTTCAGGAATTCATTTAATCATAGTTGTTAACTGTGGTGTAAACTAATCAAATTCTGCAGCATATTCTTTAGAATAGTCTATCTCTTTAAATACATCTATTGTTTCTTTTTTAATTAAATTGCTCAGTTTGAACAGATCACCATATAACATAAAAATAAGAATAAGGCAATGTCCAAATGTTTTAGGCTTCAATTCCCATAAGTTTCAGATAGCATAAACAATGGCAAGGGATTATGAGAGCACACTAACAATATACATAATACCTGGAAGGTACCAGGTTTCTTAGACTTTTTCTAGAGTCTTGTCTTTGTATAGTAAATAAAGTGGAATATTTATATTTCAGTCTATTGAGGAATCTCATTCTAATCCCATTTAGAAATGGACACTCCCCTCTGTTTCACTCTATTTATAAAATATATAGCTCACGTTTCTGATTGAGTAGAAAACAATTCATAACAATTCTAGAACTCTAATAAAATCACAAGTGAAACAAAATGTAGTATTCTCATATTTAAAAGGTAGGAACTTAAAATATGTCTCTATGTCAATACATTGCAACTGGCTTTTTGGAAATACTATCAAAATGAGAAGGGATTTGGTATCAAAATATTTATTTAAGCACAGGCTTTGGGTGAGTGAGGATGATTCCGACGTTGACAGGAGTTCTTTTCCCATTTATCAAAAAAATATGTTGAATTGAAATCAGTAGAATGAAATTTTGATTTGATGTGTACAAAATTGCA